GCTCTGGCGCGCTAAAGCAGTCTTACAGCAAACACCTGTGTAGCGCAGGCCGCACCTCACATGACCGGTGACTCCCCACCGACTGCCTTTCAGGTCGACGAGGCGCTGAAAATCAAGAACACGGATATTGCTAAAGAGCTCTGCCTTCCTCCCGTCAAGCTGCACTGCTCCAGTAAGTACAGGACCGAGCGGCGAAAGTCCAAACGCCGGCTCGTGTTTGAGAGGGAGACTTCGGGGAGTCGTGCAGGTGCTTCTGAATGTTGTTTTCTGAATAAAGTTTCTGCACATGGAGCGGCTGAAGTTGTCCCGCAAGGGATGCTTGCTTATGCTGAGATTTTGGGGTTATTTTAAGAGTTTTCAGGTCGCTTTCTTTGTTTGGACTCCGCAGACTGGTAATAAGTGTTCAGATTCTGACATTCTGCTCGAGCAGTGCTGGCTGCTCTTGCCTTTACGGCATCTTCTGATCCAAACAGCTTCTCCTTGCCCCTGAAATCCTTGTTTTGTTTGTAGTGCTGGCTGAAGACGCCATCAAGGCTGCCTTGGCTGATTACAAGTTGAAGCAGGATCCAAACAAAGAGGAGTCAGAGAAGAAAGCAAACAAAGCCTAAATTGACTGTAAAGCTTGTTCTCATTCCACTTAAATTTGCAGTGCAATTATTCTAGCTATTAGTCGGATCCTGCGCACTACTAAATGAAGCTGTAAGATACGCACAACTTACGCACAACGTGTCACCCTTGGTGTCTGTACGGCCACTCTTGTAGTGCTGACACGGCTGGGATGTGGGTCTTGGGGCAGCCCGTGTCTGTCACGACTGTCTCGGAAATGTCGGCGTGAAGGAGACTGCTCAGCTGCAGAGAACTCGGTGGCTTCTCTCAGGAGAGAAAACTCTGCTGTTCCGGTACTGGAAGGGCTGCACTTTTTTTTGGAAGATGTATAGTTTTGCTTAATACTTTACTGAATTTAGTGGGAAACGTTGCCTTGGTCTCTGTGTAAGAACGGCGAACTGGTCTGTGTATCGATGCGGTGTACAAACACGGGGCAGCGTGTCTGCCCGCAACCGTGGAGCCGTGTGGGAGTCTCATTTCGCCGTCGCTGTGCGAGCTCCGGGGTGCTGGGCCGCTGCGGCCGGCACCAGAGGGCACTGGCAACGCGCCGCTGGGAGACCGGGCCTCTTCACGGAGGGAGCTGTGAGGCGCTGGGCCAGGCTGCCCAGGGAGGGTGTGGAGAAGATGGTGTAGACACAGAGCTGAGGGGCTGGGTTAGTGGTGGAGTTGGCAGTGTTGGGGTAGGGGTTGGACTCGATGAGCTTCAAGGTCTCCTCCAGCCAAAAAGGTTTTATGATTCTGCGGCTGGGTGCCGCTGTGCTGGGGAGCGCGGACCCGGCGCT